GAATATTCGTCTTTTTACTGAAGAATTTAAGTTATTTAATTAGAAAACATATTATATTTAAGCTTATATAAACATAACAATATATATATGGATTAAAAATATGTTAAAACAAAAAAAATATATATATTTTAAAAAAGACTTAAAATACTATTATAATATTATAAATAAATTAAAGATAAATTTTAAAAGTTAAAAAAAAATAATATAAACGATTGATAATAGGCTTAATGGAGCCGTGAATGGATAAGGAATTTGAACGGAAAATCTTTAAACCAATGTTCTGGCGAATATATATGCATTCATTAGGATTGCCCGATGAGATAGATTATTTTTCTTCCCATCTCCTACAGGCGGATCGTAACCGAAGTTATTGAGGGTTCATGTGACAACAGGGACCAATTTAAGATTGTTTAATTCTGAATATTTGTTTTTTAAAATATTTTGGATACCGAAAGAGAGTTTTCATGATGGGGTGTTAGATTTATAACTTCTAATTCGTCTCATTTCTAAACAAAGATCTGCTTCGCCATCTATATAGCACAGAATAAAAAGAAAGACGCTATTTAGATTTAGTGTGCACACTTAAAACAAAACAAAATAGGGGTTTCCTAAAATCTGAATATACAGAAAATTAAAGAGATTTATAATATTAGGAACATTTTCTTCCAGTGTAATTTCGCTTATATCATCATTCTCATCCATTTATGTTTCAGAGATATTTTACATTTTAGATCAGCATTAGTACTAGACTGGATTTATAGTAAAAATTTCGAAGAAAATTAGAATAGTTTAAGTTTTCACGTCACATTTTAATATGTTTAGAAATATATTTTGCATTCATTTTCTCCATTTTTTTTTTGTAATTTTCTCTCTTTCATATTGGAATATCCAATTTATGCAAGTTTAGGAATTAGTTTCTTAATAATATTTAAAGATGCAAAATATTTCTTGATGTTAATTTTGGTTTGAGTGTAATCATATTTCAGTAGGATTAAAAAAAATATTTTGTAGGTATATTAGTATTCTTTCTTACTTTTTTTTACTGATATTAATCTTCCAAAAAATTAATTTTATTTTTTAAACGAAAATGAATGTTTTATGATTCCTACATTTCTCCGAGATAAGAATTTCACAATTTTATAAATTTTTACATTAGTGAATAAATATATTCTCTTTCTTCTTCTTCTTTAGAATAAAACCGATTCATAAATTCACAAAATTATATTATCAAAAAGCTAGATTTTTTTTGATTAGACGTGTTCCTTCCTCTTTCGACAATTGAAGGTCACCTTGTTTCCTTAAATTCCATTTTGAATTTGATTTAAATATTTTTAAATTAATAAATTAATTAAAATCAACTTGCAAGATTCTTTCTAACTAAAATAAATGAGTCGTATTTAAGGGACTGCAAAGTGATTTGTGGCCTGACGACCCGAGTCCAAATTAAAAAAAATTTGAGAACACATTTTTAGACCCAACCCGAGCCCGACAATTTTTTTTTATAGTTTAAATATCAAAAACTTCTAAGAACATATAAAAATTATGTGTATTTATTCCCACATTGTCACCTTAAATTAAAATATATTTAACCTCCGTAATCTAGTCAATATTCATGTAAATAGTTAAAAAATTACAATCAAATTTAATAATTATTGTGATTATATAAAAATAATTGGCTTGATATTGTGAAAAAAGATGATATAATTGTTTCAATAAAGCAGAGACCCGCAGACTCGGTCCTAAGCCCGGCCCGGGTACATGGGTTGGGATGTATTTTTATTATTTTTTAAATATCGGGCCAGGCCTAAAATTTTTTTTTTAAATATCCAGGCCGGGTCGTATATTTAAAAACCGAATATTTTAAATCGCTATTACTAGCTATAAAAATTAAAAATAAATATATTTTTAAAAAATCCGGTCAATGCAAATGGTACCTCTGCAGGTCTCTCTGACATAAAAAAAATATTTCTAAAAAAATATAATTAACATATTAAAAAAACATATCAATGAAATCATTATCCACAGAATCACATAGTGAAATAATTATGATATATAAATAATTATGAGTCAAGTTTGTCAGGTTTCAAGCAAGTCCTCTCTTTTTTTAATATTTATATATCGGAACGGACTTCTTGTCTCTTATAGCTAGACGCGAGCCATAAACCGAGAAAAAAGTCTTCAATGTCTGAGTCCGAGGCAGGGGACGGGTCGGACTTCGGACAGCCAATAGAGACCTCTAGTCGTGTTGAAGTTTTTAAAGTCGGATAATTAATCATGTCAATTATAATAATTAAATTTCCTTCTACTAATATTATCAAAAATTAAACGTTTAATTTGGTGACGTTATTTAAGTTATAAATTTATTTAACGTAGATTGATTCAAGATAATTTCTTCTTTGAGAATAAAGAAATAAATATTCAATCCTTTTAATAATAAATTCAACTAATCGATAGTTTCGCACGAGGGATTATAAATTTATTTATCTTTTATTAGTAATATTTTTTTTCCTTCCAGTTGAAACGTGAAAAAAATAGATTGATTAAAAATGTTTATACATAAAAATAAATTTATATTTTTAAATATTTTAGAAATTAAATGAATGCGGAAATCCTATTTTTAAATCTAATTAATGAAATTATAAATTAATTTTTGTACGAAATATTTAAAATTAGAAAGTAGTGCGCTGCTGCAATAGATATTTTCCCAAGCTATCGCTATCGCGGCAAAAATAGTAGCGCGCTACTTTAACAACTCTGGTCTAAATGTATACTTGTTACAATTATATAACTCTTAGTTGCTAGATGTCATCACACGCATTTATTTAATTCTACTTTGAAGTTTCTTCGAATCCTATATTTAATTTGTTTTTCCTTAATTAATCAGAGAAATAAATAAGCTCATTGCTTTTTTTTATATCAAATTAGATGTTTTAACAAAATTTAACAAATTTTATAAATCAAAGAAGAATTAAAGAAAAATATATGTATTCTATTCTTCAGTAGCGTCACTAGGGAGGGGCGCATGGGCTTGAGCCCTTGAAAAAATTTAAAAAGCCCCCTCAAAATTTTGAAATTATTTTTTTATATACCACTAAAAAAACAGTAAGTTAACTAAAAAAAAAAGATTTAGAGAATGTTAACTAAAAAAAAGGTAATTTTGAAAATATTTATTTTCAGCCCCTTGAGATTGTAAAGGCAGCAATACAAGATTAAATTTTTTAAAATATTTTCATTGTTTAAATTACAATTTAATTTAATTATAATTTTAAAGCATTTTCTTTTTGTGATATAAGATTTATATAAAGATATATTAAGCGTAAAAAAAGGATTTAAGAATTATTATTAGTTGAATTAAAAATTAATTTTGTCGTAAATTTTAATTTTTTTCATTTTGATAAAACCTCGACTATCCCTCATAACAAATTATTTAAAATTATATTTCTATATTATTATGATAATTCAATATTTTTTTAATTTAAACCAATCAAAATCTTTTATATACATGCTCAATTTTAGTATAAATTTTCAGTTAAAAATCTCAGTCTTCATCTAGCTTTTGACCAATGAAAAATATGAATTGGTCTTATTTCAAATGGCAAGAGGCCAGCTGTTTAACCTTTATTCTATGGAGCTCTTATTCACAAAATCGGACACCCACGAAAATCTTCTTTCGGTGGCTGTAATCAACAAAAAAATTTCACAGTTTAAATAAAGTTAAATTCGTTCCTGTCGTTACATCAACTTTAAACTTCGACTAAGAGACACTTTCCTTCCTGAAGGAGATAGAAAAATAAATTATGCAATTCACTTGCGATTAAAGAATACTTTACTCAGAATATAAGTTTAGAAATTTGCCATTCTATGTTACCGCTCTTTGTAACCTATTACCATATTGTATTTTATATATTTATAGCCTTTTATTATTCATATTTTTTAATAAATAGTGATTATGAATATAAATTTATATTAAAAAGGATAAGTTATATAAAATATTTGGTGAAATTTGTAATTAGCTACTTTTGAAATAATGCAACTAATTACCTTTTTAATTATATAATTCTTAATTGTAAAAAAAAATTACTTTTCAAAAGCATATTGACATCACTAGTTAATTACATTTTAGGTCCTCTCTCCCAAATATAAGAACTTTACTACATATTTTAGCAAATCTATCCAAAAATAATTTCTACCTATTCCACTTTAGAAAACAGATTAAATGATGTTCCAAATCCTATAATTCATAATATCTCCATTACCATTATAAACTGATATATTTAATAATTCTGTTTAGCATTCTTAAATTTTATAGAACATTTATTTATTTATTGAGATTATAAGCGTTTAATAATTTTTTCTGGGCCCCTGCTTTATCAATTTTTCTATTGAATCTTTTAGTTTCTGGGTATAGTATTTATTTTTAAGCGATTATTAATCCCAAATAATTTAAGGGCAACGCGAAATCTCGCAGAAATCGCTGTCACGCGATTTTATTACGAATTTGGATATATAGTATTATTATTATATTATTTTTTGAGCATAATTTAAATATAAATATACAATTTTTTTCATACTTCATCGAGTTAGAATTTTAATTTTTTTTCCCATAAAATATGTATTATATATATTTTTTTGTCCAAAAAATAATGAACTTGACCAATAAAATTTTTGTAAAATCATTTATTTTCTTTTCACCTGTTAAATAATATGAAGAAAAAAATTTTTAGACATAAATTGAATGAATATTAATTTATTACTTTCAAAAAAATATATTATATATTTACATCATTTATTTACGTTTATATTTTTTAAATAATTTATTTAATGCATTTACCTTTACAGGTAAAATAAATAGAGAAACTGCATTTTCTATTATATTATATTAATTTATTATTTTATTTTTTTTATTAAAATTGTGTATAAATTGCTATTTAAAAAAAAAATTTTTTATTGATAAAAAAAATGTTTATAGCAAAATTTTGGTTAAAAAAATAATATTTTATATTAATCATGATTTTAAAATAGTTCAAAAATTTATGCAAATATTATCTATCCTAAAAGTAAGATGAAGAAAAATGTGGCTTTTTCCAACGATTTATGTTCTGAATCATTCTTTGAGTTATGAAAAAGTAAAAAAAAATCTTCAACCTAATCTTCCTTTTACTTATTTCTTTCATGCGATGAATCTTAAAATTATAAATTTATGTTCTTCCTAAAGTTATTTCGATATATTGAAAAAATATTTATTTTATAAGGCAATGACAAATCAAAATATTTATTTGCGCCTATTTTTTATTTTTTCAAATTGTTAAAACACCTTTCATATTCTTTTGTCACCCCCAAGAAATTTTTTTGTACTTCTTTCAAAGATAATCATAAATAAAATAACAATTTTAACTAATAAAATTAAATATATAATTAATTTATAATTAGCTCTTTCAAATAAATGTTTTTATTAATTAAAATACCTCTTTTTTAAACATCTTAATAATTAAGTAATCAATAGTATTATTAATATGTCAACTTTTAATATTATCGTTGGGCGCGAAGTTTGGAAAAGTAACGATTAATTTTTATTCACTTTTAATTTAGCAATAAGGAAGGGGGTTAAAAAGGAGTCCCACACCCACAAATAAAAAAACTCAAATTGAAATCGTAAAAGGGAATTATAAGTGTTTATCCCTCTTAGTTCCTTTAACATACATGGCAACCCCCCCCCCCTGCCCCTATATTATTAAAAAGATATTCAATTGTAGTACTTATAAACTATTCTGTTCTCATATATAGAACTTGTTATTTGGAAATATAATCTGTTAATTAAAAAAATTAAAATTTACCCGTAAAATTTTATCTGTTTCTTAATTTTTTTTTTTTACTAAAAAATAGGAAGTTATATATTTTTAGTGCCAAAATGTCGGCGTTATAATTGTTCAATTCAAATTTAGATAGTAAAAAGGATCATAAACTCGGTCTCTTTAAATTTTAAAATATTTGGGGTAGAGCTTAGAATTTTTAATGGACCGGACTCATGTTTAAAAATATTGGGCTCGGGCTTACAAATTGAATTAAAATAATTCGGTTAGCTTCAAAAATAAAAAGAATCCACCCACCTCGGGTAGTACCCATTTAATTTAAGCTAAACTTCGATCCGAAGTTATAATATATCATTACCCAAAAAAAATTAAAAAAAATATTTACAAATTGAAATAACATTTTGATAAATGTAATATATTAAAGGGATGCTTAAAGAAAAATTTAAAAAAATTACATTAAACGCCAGACCCTACCTAGGCCACTATTTTCGATCATTCTATTCTTTCAAAAATTAGTTTTGCTCTGAAAAATATTTTTTTTACCCGGATTGGAATCCATTATTATGAGATTTATTACTAACGATGCTTCTCTATAATTAAATAAAGATCAATGGATCATGCCTACTTTTTTATTTGGATTATCCCTCCAAATAGAGAATATAAAAATCGATTTACTTTATCAATTATTGTTTCCTAAATATATTGGAAAATATTGATATCAGTCTCATTACTACTAATCCCCCCTATTCATAACGCATAAAATAATTGAAGTGATCTTCGATTTATCTATAATTCTCTCGTCAGTACTTTGACATATTTATATATGTTTGTATATAAGATAATTTAGAATTTTTCAAAAGCTATGATAATAAGATTATTTTTTTTAAAAAAAAAATAAATAAAAATAAAGGTAATATTTAGATTAATTTACATAATATTTTTTTTTTATTAATTCAGCATTTTATATATATTTTTTTTGGATAAAAGTTGATTTGATTTTAAAAATATGACAGAAGCACCCGGGTCGTGTTTAATTTTTGAAATTACATAAAATCGCATAATGAAAATTTTGAACATTCATTATTTTTTAATTTTCAAATACCAAAAATGTGCAGCCAAAATATTAAGACTTGAAATCGATTCTTTTGTAAGCAGATACTTTATGTCCTCAAGGCTATGTCCGAAATTGATACCCTTGTGGCCCAAAATTCGACTAGCGGGTGAATTAAAAATAACATGGAAAACGATGTTTTATCCTTCATTAATCAAAACAAGAATTATAATTAAAATTTCTATGTTATAAGGAACAAAGCAATTAACGATTTTTTTTGTAAATTCCACCTCGTAAAATGCGTTTAATTAACTAGTTGGCATATTGCCGAGACGAGTTATTATTTATATTTTTTTTGTCTTTCAATTAAAAAAAATTTCCGGGTCCGGGGCGTGCTTGGATCTAAAAATAAAGATAAAAATTTGAGAATGGACTTAAAAATTTATTTTAAAAAATTGGACGAGGGTTTGGGTTGAAAAAAAAATTAATATTATTTTATTATTCTTTTAAGTTCTTATAAATTTTTAAAAATATAAAAATTTTATTATTATCATAAAATATTAATATCTAGAAGAAAAAAAATTAAACATACTTTTATGTCTTCTCATAATTTAATTATACGGTATCAATTTATTCTATGAGATATAAAATTGAATTCAATATTTTATTTTATATAACTGTTCAATATAATTGGTTAATAAATAGTAAATTATTAATATTTAAAAAAAAATACTATTAGTATATAAAAACCAAACTATTAGATTGGTATTTGATATTTAAATATTTATGTATTCATTTTTTTTTTCTACGATGACAAATTAAGTTCTTTTTTAATGTTGGTAAGCAAGCAATGCGTAACCTTTTATATATAGTATAACATTATTTTCAATTTATATTATTATATAACATTTCATAAAAAGATAACAATTATAAATATATTAGAAAATGATTAAAAATTATCGAGTATATATAAAAAAGATAGATCTTCGATATCTCGATGATTATGTTATATTGTCAAGCATTTTTGAATATAAGTAAGAAAGAAATATAAAATGAAATAGATAGAATGTAAAGTGATAAATAGAATTAAATAAAAGGATTTAGGCCGTGTCCTAGGTCGGGGCTTAATAATAGCCGGCTATTTAGCCATCTTTTAAGTATCGGTTAAATAGCCAAAAAAGTAAAAGAAAAAATTAATAAAAAAACTAAAAGAAAGATTTTTGTATAAAAAGGCACAAAAGATTTATACTTATAAAAGATTTTTTTTTTACAAATATTTGGAATTTTCTATAAAATTTGATCAAGAATTCTGATGGAGCATTTTCAAAAAAATCTTCTTTTAAAATGATCTCTGATGATTTTTTATTTTGAAGATCATTTTAAACTCTGATTTTATAATATGCCTAAACCAAAGTTGTAGGAAAAATCAAATGGCATTCTAAGAAAATTTTTGACAAAAGTTTGGAACCAAAGCAGGATAGAAGCTAAAAAAAATTAGGGTTTATTTTACATTTTATCATGGTTTAGAACTATATTAACTTTAAATAATATTTTATAAGATTAAATATATTAAAAAAATATCATCTTTACAATTTTTATATGGATAATATTGTTCAGGACACAGCCATTTCTCAGGCTGAAATATCTAAAAGAACAAATATTGCGACTTAAAAGGGAGTAATATTAGGAACAGCATCTGATCGTAAAAAATAAATCAAATTTTACATTTTAATGTTTGCAAAATAATTTAAAAAAATTATTGTATTTAAAATTTAAAAAAAAAAGGTATACTTAATTTCTTTAACTATAATTTCAATAAAATTAAATAAATATGTTTTCACTCATATCATTTTTAAATAGATCATGGATTAAAATCTAGAAACTATTTATAGAACCAAAACGTTTAAATAAGATTCAGAAATTAGAACTATCCAGAAAATTTAAGATCACAAAAGTGTTAGGATATTCGATATATTTATAGTGTCAATATTCAACACTGAAAACGATATATATATTTTTTTATGAAAAAATGACCTTATTTTTCTTTAATTAAGCTTGAGAAGTTAGTGAAGAGATAAGAAAAAAAATGGAAAGATGACAAGAATATTATATATGAAATATAGGGATAGGTGTCAAAATAATTATCTTTAGCCTTTGTATCGAATGTCAAAAATCACGATAACGATTATCTTTTTTTTGTATTTTATAAGACTTTTTTAAAAAATATTTATAGCTTGTTATACAGATTAAATTTTCTCCTTTTTTTTCACCACTAAACAAATAGATTCAAACTTAGAAAAGACCTTGATTTATTTTCATTTACTTAAAAAAAATATATATATAATTACATAATAATTTTATAATATTGTTAAAAATAATAGTTTATAAAAGTTGTCAATATGATTTAAAATGATTTTTTTTAAAAAAAATAAAGATCAAATATGAATGAGCACCAGTAAAGGGAAGGATGATAATTAAATTATGTTTAAAAAATATATTTATCAAGAATTTACCTGTAAAATTATATCTTTCAACAAAGGATACCATAAATTTGTTTACATTTTGATTGCGTGAAGAAATAAGGGGGATTGATTTTTGAACATATTTATATATTTTTTTCTGTCATATTTTTAAGCCCTTCAATCTTATTTTTGAAGTTTTAAAGAATTTTTATTCGAATACACAATTATACCCTGCAATCTTATCTATAAGAAATAGATAAAGGTGACATAAAAAATTTAGAAGGGGGTGGTTTAATTAAATTTTCTTAATTATCAAGGCCAAGAAATGTAGTAATGAATTCGATTAATGATTTGAAAATAATTTTATGTTCTACTTTACAACTTGATGCCATAGATTGATAAGATTGTTAACAATTAATTTTTAAAAGTATTTAGTTACACCCTTAAAAGGATAACTAGTTATAGTTATTTTTCTGCAAAATTGTAAAACAATACTAGCATAGACACAGAGGAAATCCATATTGAATTGAAATTTTGCTCCAAATTTGTAACAATTTTGATTATTTGAAAAAGAAAATTAATGCTTTTTTTCAGGAAATCTAAATATTGACTATATTAATAATAAATTTTTCTATTATTTAAAAACATAGGGATTTCTAACCCCTCCCCACACCCAAACTTATCGAGAAGACTCCATGACAAAATTTTTTTATTGAAACCTCCCTTACGCAAAAATATACTATGTACAATTTTTTTTACCTTATATATTAAATTAAATGGTTAATTTAACAACAAAACATGATAATCTTAATGAGTATTATACATATATAATATTTTTTAAATAATGGTTAATTTAAATATTTAGTTTCTGTTAGCTAAATTTAATGTTTTTTACCATGTCGGTAACCAAATCTTGCATATATTTTGCAATAGCAAGTGAGTACCGTTTTTATAACCAATTTTCAAACCGTTCTAATTGAAGCTCAAGAAATTCATGTTAAAATATATTTCGGACATCTGTCATCGTTTTTTTTGATACAGGTATTATAAAATGGATTAGAATTATAAAAAAATGATATAAAATAATTCTTAATTGATCCTAAAATTATTCAAGAGTTGGTAATAAAGACAAGGGGTATATTTTTTTATTTATTGTTAAATAGCTAGTTTTTTTTTAAAAAAAACAAGCACTATTTAAAAATGAGGATATAAATAATTAAGACATAGTAGAACCAGCACTAAAAGAAAAGTAGCTATAAGGTAGGGTTCTAGCTTTACCTAATTTTTGTTTTTAATTTTGAATAGGCTGGACCAATGACATATAATAATACCTAGACTGACGATTCATTCATTAAAATGCATTTTTAAGCGTCGTTAAAAGCAAATCAGCTGGACCCGCCATTTTGGTAACCTTTATAATAATTATTTTCATGTTAAAAACTAATATTAAATTGATAACTTACTTTCTTATTATCTCGATGATCAGGCAATTCTTTAATAAAGTTTGCATCAGATATAATATAAAATTAGGCTCTCGTTTAAAATTTTAATATTTATTACAGTAACCAAGATGGCGTCTCTAGCTGATTTGTATTGATGTACACTTTTAATGAATGAATTGTCAGTCTAGGTATTATTATATGTCATTGGGCTGGACAATAACTTTAGAACTTTAAAAAAAAATTATACATAAACATAAGGAGGATGATATCGTTAAAATACACTTAAAGGTCTACCTAGTCTTATTTTTTAAATCGGCGCTGTCGGAATTTAAATTGTTTATAGAATTTTAAATAACTTGTTTTTTGTATATCTATGTAAAAGTAAAAAATGAGCTAATATTACATATTTAGGGTCTAGTCAAGATTTTTATAAGAAGTAAGGTATTTTTGGATGCTCCCTATGTGCTTACACCTATAATCTTATTAGAGATTCTTGCTTTAATTATTTTTAGGGTGAAGGGAGCAGAGCGGGTGAAGTCTAGGAAGATAATTTTTGTTAAGCTAATATATGCAGAATCCTGAAAATTTTCCAAGGGAAAGGGAATTTCAATATTTCTCCCCTTGGCTAAGCCTATGATCATAAAACTATGAAAACTTTCGACCAATTATCTTTCTAAATCAATATTCCTTAAATCGTTAATTCATTTCATATTATAAAATTGACATGATATTTAAGTTAATAAACTATTAGTCTTATAAGATGCATAATTGTATTTTTTTTACCTAATAAAATTGTATACTTACTTTAAAAACTCACCCCCCCCCCCGCACATCCCCAATAAAGAATTCTAATTAAGGACCTAACTTTATATATAATAGAGATATATCAAATTTTTCTAAACTTGATGAAAATATATCAACAATCATTTTAGAAAAAAAATCTTAAAATTGTTATCGGTAAGGTTACGGACATTATAAAATATTTTAGTAGAAATAATGTTAGTGACATATAATTTACAAAACATTCAGGTAATACCGTCACTATTTTGAAAAAGTAACGAATTAAAGTAAAGTATAATTTTTTTTTAACTTACTCTTACTCGTTTACTTTATATTTTATTATCATTATTGTTTAAATATATCGTTTAATGTTTTGTATTTAAATTTTGTAAGACCTTAAACTATTTTCAGACATTAAAAACTTGCTTAGAAAATATAATACACCTGCCCTGCCATCCTCAGCACCGATTGAAGGGGTGTTCAATACATCAAGGGAGCTGAGACGTAACCATTCTTGTTTATCGAATAAAAACTTATAAAAACAATTACCAATTAAAAATTAATTTTTAAAAAATTGTTAAAAATAGAAATTATCGATATATTTATAGAATAAAAAATAATAAAATTTTGTGCAATTATTTAATTTTTGGGATTGGTGTAATATGAAATCTCATTTTATAATAACGATTCCAGCATATGAAAAGTAAAGTAACGGCGAAAAGTAACTTGGCTTTACCATTTATAAAAAGTAATTTCAACCTAATGAACTATTTCTATAGAGTAAGGCGAAATGTAACGACCTTAATTTTTTGAGTAATATCGACAGCTCCATGAAATATATTATTGATATACACAGATATATTGACATTTTCTTTTATCTTTTTTAAAAAAAATGTTTATTTACAATTAAAAAATAGTTACTTAAATATCATTTTTAATTAAATCAAATCAATTCTTATAAATTATGTAATATTCGATATTTATAAGTTTTTTTTAAAAAAAGAGTATTTTATAAAAATCTATAAAAACTTTGTGATCTATCATTCTGGTCTATTCTCAAATCTATCATAAAGTTTGTTTAATTAATGCAATGCATACTAGTAGTTATAAATGTTATATATTATTACTTATATTTTTTTTATTTATCAAATAAAAGAAAGGTTCAGTATGATGAAGCTATACACCGTTCCAATAAACGCTCAACAGTTCAATATTGACTTATTTAATTTTGAAAAAATGAAACAAAAAATTACATTCGAATTTTTAATAGACTTGATCTGACTCAAATCGTTATAAACAAAATTACTTTAATATCCAGAGGGACTTTTATCTTCCTTTTTTTTAAAGAAATATTAACTTAAATTTTCTGAAAAATAGATTATCATATTATTTTTAAATAAAGATAATCGAAATTTTTATTCGAATCGGAAATATAAAAATTGCATATGAAAGAAAAACGAAAGTTGTGAAGGTCCGATGCCTAGATAAAAATGTACAGTGTTCAAAATCACGTGGACATTTTTAAGTTCAAGGGAGATGGGGAGCATTCCGAAAATTTAGCTTACATTCGTATCTGTATCCCGGCTCATAAAATTCAAAAATGTTTGACATATTCTGAAGGGGACACTATATACACCATCAAAAAGAGATACATATCCAGTTTGCACCAAGTAAAATACTCATAATGCAAATAATATGCTATGTATTTCGTAAAAATAAAAAAAAGGAAGTATTTTCTTTTCAAATTCTTGTATGTAAATAGAAAAATTAATTATAATTTTTTTTTAAAGTAACTTGAGCAAATGAAATTTTAAATACTTTATAATGGATAAGTTTTCATTTAAGTTTTCTTTTGAAATATAATATATAATATAAAGAATATTAATAATGGAAACACAAAAGTTGAGATAACTATCTAACCTGAATATGTTTAACTAACCAAAAGTTTAGATATTTTTCACAAGTCTTAATTTTATGGAATATGTGTGTGTGAGCTAGTGGCATAACTATACTCGGACACCTAAGGACAAAAACAATATGCAAACCTTAAAATTAAAAAATTTATCAACAAATATAGCACCTGAAGCTATTATAATTATTTACAAAGTATATAACCAACATCTAAAATTGCAGTTCAGTATACAAGACTTTTAGCTAATTGATTATCTTTTAAATTATGTTATACGTAGCCTTTTTATTTATGAAAATGGATTATATGGTAATGGAGTGGAAGTTCTTTTTCCAAAAATCATTTAATCCTGAGTTAAAACTTTGAATCTTACACATGAGACACAAATTTTTGAAATAAATATTAATTATATTAGTCTTTTTTTTACATATGATAATTGGGCATCCCAAAATTAAAAAGTCTGTGTATGCTGTATTTAATAATTACCGTTAAATTAATGTTTCTTAAAACCATGTCAATTCAAAAAGAAAAGAAAATACATAGACATTGATTTCTTATAAAAAGACCTAACAGTTATATATATTTCAAAATTGTTTAAAATGTGAAGTTTAAAAAAAAGTTATATATTTATTTTATATTTTAAAGCCTTTAGAAGACGAACTAAATTACGGGTTATATTTACCCCCCGGAAATGGCTATATCGGAGGTTTTCTTAATGAGCAAATTCTTGTCTCCAAATGTAATTTCTCTGATTCCACTCCATATTTAGAAGTTAATTACTATTTTTTTTTTAAATACATTTATTCGATTTTTAAAAATGAATATTAACTTTTAAAATTACACATATATAAAGAGTTGTAAAATATATTTTATTTTATTTTTGATTTTAAAATATATTTAAACTTTAAATTATTTTATTCGTGATTTTATTGCATCGAACTTTAACGATTTACAAAAAGGTATTTAATTGAAATATATGTGAAACCTTCATAAGGTGACTATTATAAGGTTGTTTTTGGATCAACATAAATAGGTAGTCAATATTTTATTCAGAGAATTTTTAGTAGGATTTTGTCAGAAAGGGACTAATCTAAATAGGGACCAAGATAAGGAGGTGATAACCATAGAGGGATGGTTCACCTTTTGGCGGTTTCACAATTATATCTTATTATTTTGGTTTTCTTAAAATTTCACAAAAATGTGTTTAAGAAATCGCATTTAAAAACATAAAAGTTTAGAATAAAAAATGCGGCTTATATAACATTATTTTTATATCCCGAAATAAATCAAATATCTTTAAAATCTAAAATAATCAAAAATTTCAATATATAAATATGATTAATTATATATATATATATATTTTTTTTTTAGTTAAGGTATAAAAGGAGAGTGTACAGGGATCCTAAAACCAACGTAAAATTACTGAAGGAAATCAATTCGATGCCAAAACAAAAGAGATTTATGAGTTACGTCAAAAAAGGAACCTTAGCTAAAGTCAAGCGAATGTGCGATAAAGGATTAGATCCTAATTTTCACGATTCCATTACTGGAGGTAAATTTAGGAAAAAAAATTTTTAAATAATGTAATAACATTTATAAACTATATCTCTAATTTTGTTATAAAAGTGTATATTGAATAATTTGGATTAATTTGTATATTTTTAAAAGATATAATATATCTAATCTATATTTTTACATTTATTATTATAAAATTTATGCAAAATTATATTTCTCTGACTCTTATCTCATATCAATTTGTCCTATATATAATTTTTTTTTTTTCTTTCAAATATATAACGCATCGAATTGAATATATTATTAAAATAAAACATGGTAAAAAAAACTTATAAAGTTATCATTTATCAATAAGGGTTAAAATCATTATACATTTTTAAAACGTACACCGTTTTCTTTTTATGAGAGATAAGATACAATTTTATGTTAATTTTTTTTTGTAATTAGGTGATAAGGAATGGAAGGATAATCAATCTTATTTTTGTGAATTGTTAAATCAATATAAAGCAGTGAAATGAGATTCAATAATTATAATTTAGGACCAATAGATCTTAAAAATTCTTTTAAACAAAACTAGTATTTGGTCTAAGACTTCCTTACAAACTTGGGAACTAAATTAATTTGAGAAATTTATTTAAGTTAGCTTTCCTGTTACAGGTTTCTCGTCTAAGATATTTTAAATTTTTTTTATTATAAATTTCAATTTTGAATTCATTAGATTATTGTAATAAATTTGCTATGAATAATATTATACATTTTACTCGTTTAGGTTAGAACGGGCTTAAAAATAATTTAAATATGTTTTTAATAAATATAGTTTATCTATATAATTTTTAGAACGATAATGATATATGATATTTCCTCGAATAAGATTATAAATAATATTATACTGTATATTTTCTTGTATATAACTCATTAAATATTTATACTCGAAAATTTTTTAAATAAGATAAGTATATAGTCGGTTAAATATCGTGATTTGCGTTTATCTATATTTAAACGCACAAATATCGGAAATCCGCAACCAAGAAAATTGTATTTCCCTAATAATTCTGCCGGAGACTCGAAATAAAATGCCTAATATGGGAAAATATAAATATAATTTTAAAAAAGTCACATACCTCACTTATCATAGATCTGCAGGCCCAAAATTGTCCGGAGTGGGTCGTAAAATAGTATAAAAATCCCTGAGGAAAAAGTATAAACCTTGGAGGCGGCGTTAGAGTTATCTTATTTTTGAAACTATTTTCTGTTTAGCCCATTGAACTAGGATAATTTTGATTTGTTTTAAGTGTGCACAATAAATAAATATGATGATGGATTGGAAAGAATCGCAAAGGCACTTTACCTACTTGAATCTAAATAGTATTTTTTTTTTAAGCCATTATGAGGGAGCTATATAGACGGTTAAACACCTACTGTTTAGAATTAAGATGAACCAAGGTACGGCCGGAACGATTTTTGAAAAATAAATTTTTTTATTATATAATGATGGATTGATTTACTGCAATTTCAATTTCCCTTTGTAAAAATTTATAGTATACACAAAATTATTTAACATAATAAAATTTTTAAAAAATCAGGGCTGGGCCTGTAAAATTATAAGAATTTTAGAAATTAGTTGATTTCGATGAAGTTTATTAGATTAATTTTGGCAAAATTTATTATCCAATTTATTTTTTCAAGTTAGCCCGACCCAAAAATATATCATTTACCTTAACGATCTGGATTTTTTTTTTGCTAATTTATAATTAAAACATAGATTAATCAAATCTGGTCATTGTTTAATAAATGTATATATTCTATCCAACGACGTGCATTATCATTAGCTGGAGCTTTAATTAAGCATTATACTTATGTCAACTTATAATTAATTTGCACGTCACCTGGATAGGTAACACTTGTCAGCTGATAATTTTTATTAATATTTTCCAACATTGATTTGTACCTAAAAAATGATTATTAAAATATCGTAATTATCCATTTAGCATTGTTACATTCATATGCTTTTTTGAAAAAAAAAATATGCCTAAATGATCAAAACTTTTAAAAATACAGTCACTAGATTACTTCTTATTACTAGCGCAACACTACACCGGTAGGAATAAAAATGTTAAAATCCAAGTTAGACCTTATGGAATATATAGGAAATTTTTACGAGTTCTATCGGATCTCACAGGCCATGCCTTTCTCTAGCATCTATTGTTAATAATAGCAATATGCCCGACGAATTAAAAGGGTTTAGTGGATTATTCTAAGATTACGATATTAACAGCTGTTATTTAGTCATATTTAAGCTAATAACCATCTCCTACCCATTTCAAGCAAATTCTTTTTTATATTTATAATAAAGTCAAATAGAAATAGAAATAAATATGCGGTTAAGGGATATAATTAGATAAATTGTTTTCTAAATTTTTTCATATTTTTATTAAAAATTTGATATTGATAATTTAATACACATTTTCAAGACGACGAACTCTCATAATGATACATTAATCTTAATTGTTTTTTTTATTCTTTGAGAATAAAATAATATTATACATATTATTTTTTGTCAATTTAAGATTTACATTATATTATATACTAAAAAAAATTTAAGGTGTCAAAATTTACGCAAATAAGTATAATTCTATCTTTTTCCTTAATTACGGTGAAAGTTTTATTGATAGAATATTTTAAAAAACACACAACTTTATAAATTATATATGATATTATTTAAAATATAAACGTTAAATATATTATAATACTTAGTAAACTATAACAGGTAATAAAAAGTATTTATAAATAAAAAAACGCAAAATATAAAAAATTATAACATATAATTTACCATAATAAAGCATTTTTTTGTACCTTTTTTTGTGATATATAATTACACCCAAACACGCAAATATTCTTTTTGCGACTTATATATAATAAAATCACTAATTATTATTATTTTTGAATTATTAAATTTTTCCTTTTTTTTTGTTTTAAACAATGAATGAAACCTTATACCCTATCCCATATACCTCTTACAATATAAAGGTAATATTCAATTTAAACGATGCTCTTATAAAATTTGCATTTTGCATTTATATTCTGATAATATCAGACTTGCAGAGGCAATTTGCACAGCCGGCCTGGATTTTTTTTAAAAAAAATTTTCGGTCCAGCCGGGCTTTATATTTTCAGGCCAGACCCGGATTTTTTAAAAATATATTATATATTTTTTCAATTTTTATTGCTAATAATGACGTATAAAATATTTGTTTTTAAAATATATGGCCCAGCCTTAGGTATTTTTTTTTTAAAAAATTTCAGGGGCGACCGGGCCAAATTTTAATTTTTTTTTGAATATACCAGTGGGTTTGAAAAATTTTTTTTAGATATAATTTAAATACTTTAAAAAATTTTAGTCATAATGCCTTAAACCAAGCCAAATTTATATATAAGACAGCCAATTTATTAAAAGGGTATAATATAAAAATTAGGCGTAAATGGAGATTCATGCCAGTCTAAACCATTTTATTGTTCGAATTTTTTTTTTACTACAAGTCCATAAAAATGTAATTGTTTTATTTGTAAAAATTACAATTTAAAAAATCGCATTTGTTTTAGTTTAGCCAAATTTCGACCTCGATTTGAACATCTTCATTCGTGCTGGATTTGGACAAAAATTTATTGGGCTTTGATATCGGTGAAAATAAATATTTAATATGTCTCTGACTTCTTCTTTTTTTATATTTTGGCAAATTTAAATTTTCCTGTGATAAATTTTGTCAAATCATAAACAATAACCAATTTTTTAATAATATTATAAACAACGACCAAATGTTTGCTCAAAATATTTTGAGATGCAATAATATTTATTTTTAAAATAATAAGGCGGAATTACACGGTTACTTCCGATATTCTGTATATCATACCGCTTAGCACAGAACCACCTAATTAGCTTCAGAAAAAATTAGGTCTTGCCTTGCTTTGAACCCAGTTCTATGTGATTGGTGAAATAGCTCATTCACCGTTAGGCCACAGACGCTCCTAGAAAACAACAATTTTTTTCGATGACGGCATCAAAAATTCAATGAAAAAAATATAAAAACAAATCCCGTTTGACTTATGAATAATATTTTTATTATTCTTACGAATATGAATATATCTGATTGTGATTTGTACTTTTGTAGGTATACCAGTCTATTGTTTATTTCGTTTTAATTAAATTGTCATTAATAAATATATTTTTTTAAGTTTTGATTCTATATGTAAATTGAATTTATTTTAAAAAACAAACAAACACAAAAATATAATCATTCTCAACAACAATCGATATAGTTATATAATATATTATTTATAGGGTAGGAGGAAGGCAGGGAAGGGATACAGTAAAATATAAAATATTATTATACTTTTTCCTATAAAAAAAACTTTTTTTTATTGCCACGACAAGAACAATTCTTGATTTAAATATAATACGATAGGCTAATATTTAATAAGAAAATATTATTGTACGATGTTTGAGAAAAAAAAAGTAAATTTCCCCAGTTCGCCCCCTTAAGGTTAAACAAATATATTTTATTTTTTTTTTAAATTTATTTATTCCTCATTAGCTTGACATTTTCTTGAAGTGTCTACCTATCGTAAATATTTTATGGAAACACATTTTATATTAAAATATGAAACTATTTAAAAAATTTATATTCTTTATATAATAAATATTCCAAAGTTATAACTTTCCCGTAAAAATTAGAAATAAAATAACCTATCTGATTTTGGCAGAAAATTTATACAGATCTGCGAGGCAGACTCCTCCGAAAGCCCGGGCCTGTCAACAATTTAGGACTTAAAATTATTTCAAGCTAATATTTTTATTAATGCTATGAAAATAAATTTTATGCTTATTTCTTTGTAAGAGCTGTCTTGTATTTATTTATTTTAAATATATGAATCCAGATATTCTTAAGTTTATCTATATACAATCTATAAGGATTTTATTTTATAAACAAAACAAAACATAAGGGTCTGCTATTTTTTTAGATGGGTTCCCGAGAAGGATCTTATATTATTTGTTACTGAAATAATTAATTTTTAGTTGAAATCATTTATTTTTATGTTAAATTAAAATTATTCATTTTAAATTTTCCCAAACTAGACCCCTGGCATTTTAATACATGCCCCCACTCTCCCTTTTTTCTAGGTTACGAAAATTTAAAAAACACCACTCATATATCAATAATATATATAAAAAAATATCTATATTTTATAAAGAAAAACATTAAAAAGAACTTAAAAATGAAGAAAAAAAAACTTTATTATATTACGAAGATTAGGCAGATGAGTTAGTCTATTATTTTAGTTAAAGTTTATAAGTTTTATTGAATTTTTTACAAAATTAATTTCGATGTACCTGGGTCTCCCATAAACAATTTATGTAGTTTGTATTCAACATAAAGCATAAGGGGGCCTTATTATAATTTTATAATAAAAGAAAAATAGGAAAATGTGGATACTTATAATATATGGCGCATATTAGAGGATGCGAAATCCTGTTTGCTCCGGTTCTGTAAAAATTTTTGCACAATTTGCCCAGCCCACTCTGACCCGAAAATTTTTTTCCCAGGCCCACTCCTTATAATTTAAAAAAAAATTTGCTTATAAAAATCTTTCGAAAAATCAGGCTCGTTATAATTTTATGGTATGAATTTTATGGCCATCACATTTTTAATAGCTATATTCCTAATTATTTTTTTTTCAATGTCAATTAAGGCTTTTATATCTCTCCTGTTATCGATTTCTACCAAAATCACTTTATAAATCAACCCTGTTAGTATCTGTGTATTTTTAATTAATCATCTCATAAATAAATTGTTACATTATTTGTGATTGATAACAAATGATTTATTATATATCGAAATTCTGCACTGGCCAGCCAACAGACTAAATTTTTCAAATAAAATAACATTTTTGTCTCCTGTTTCATCTTTCAATTAATTTACGCAAATAAGGGCTCTACGGGCGGAGGATGTAAAATTTGTATTTTAATGAATATCTTATTTGATTATTGTATATTTATGATATATATTGATTTCAAATAGACATAGAATTACTTCAATTTCGATGTTATTAGATATCTCTTTGTAGACTCCAACTGTGGGAATTATATTTTAAAAAATTATTTTTACTGGTTGAATTTTATAAGCTAATGTAATGTGTAATATTATAATAAAAGTGAAAGTAATAATGTTTTTTAAATAAAACTTTAAGGAATCTATAATATTACAATCTATAGCATTAAATTTATCCTCTTCGACAATATTACGGTAGTCTTCATTTATTGAGGCAATAACTTTTCCAATTGCTACCACGATTTAAGAAAATAGAAAAGGAAATACAACAAATCATAACTAAGAGGTTTACAAATGAAAAAGTCCTATTCCTTTCTATTAAATTTCTTGTTTTCCGTTAACAAATACTAAAACATTACATTTTTTAAAATTTTTAATTCATTTTATTTCAAAAAAAATGTTTAAAAAGGTAAAGAAAACATGCATTGTGTTAAATAAGTGTTATTAAACGACTGATTTGAGCCCATTAAAAAAAACCTAACTCAATATTTTAGCCAAAAAAATATACCGAAACTTCTAGATTTCACGAATAGATGTACAAACTTTTGTGCCATCTATGACCAAAATCTTCAGGCTTGAGCGATATCAAATAAAATATTGAGTTGAGCGTTTTAAAATCCTCATATCGAGCCATTTAATAAGTTGTTACAGAAGCTCTTCGATTTGTAACTTTTTGCCCAACCTTATTCAGATTATAAAGTATAAAAAAAAATATTGTTAATGAAAATTCAATTTAAAAACCAAATTATAAAAATTTGCATCAAATGTCCTAGATTTGAATTATTTTTTTAAAAAAAATAAATAATATATAAATAAATTTAAAAGAAAACTTTTGTCAGCTTTTATTATACATACATTATAACCTTTTAAACTTGCAACACATTAAAATGATATCAATACTATATTTATAGTGATACCGACTGATAGTAGATTTTATTCAATTTTATATATTATGAAATGAAAAGCAGAACAGAATTTTCATATATTTTTTTTAGTTCCATTCAACGAATTTTATATTTCGCTTCTTCGTATTTCCTTAACTATTTTAAATTGTAATTTTTTTTAAGGGAAATGAAATGAGCCATATTTTATGCAGTTTTTAAATATATTATAAAATATATATAATCTAACTTACTTACATTATCTAAATCTTTAACTAATTAAGGATTTATAAATTTGTTTTATATTTTTAGAATCGGTTAAATAGTAAAGTTAAACAAAAAAATAATAAAATACAATTATATTTATTATTAATTTTTTAAAAATAGAGAAATTATTAAACATTTGGGATTTTAACTTAATTAGCTTTCACGGAAGACAGAGCAATTCGAATTGTAAAAATTAATTTTTTTTTTCTCACTTTTTAAACTTAATTTATCTTTTTTTAATAGATTAATTTTTTTAAAAACAATATTTCTGTAAAAAAAAATTTTTAATAAATAAGAAACACCGTTGTCAATTGCCACCAAGATTTTAGATCCATCCGATTTATTGGAAACATTAGTCAAGGGTGGTTCTCATATCGATTTCAGGAACAAATTGGATGGCGGTCTAACAGCATTACATGTAGCTGCAGGCTTGGGCAAGGCTATATCAATAAAGGTTATAAATCATTTAATTTTATTCTAATGTAAAAAAAAATATCTATTAAAAATTAATATACCATATCCTAACATTTATACTAATTGAGATAGATTTAGAATGTACTTATAAGATCTTAAAAATTTAAATTCCCCACACATAAAAATTTTATTAACAACATAAAACATCATCAAATAATATAAAAATAATTATAAACATCCCAAAAAGATGGAACCAATTATATATCTACAAAAAAATATGAATAAATTACAAAATAGTTCGTAATGATTCAAATATAACAGTAACAAATCCTAATGTGATGTAATTTGTTCAACTATTGTATTTTTCTACACAATCTGCAATTAAATCGATGAAGTTTTATTAATTTCCGAGATTTTTAAATATGAACATGCTTGAGATTATATTTATCTAATCAGGGTAGGGTAGGTAAGTGAGTAGCGAGAGAGAATAACCATTTTTTAAAATAGTTCAACCGCTACTTACTTCAATAGGAAAGGGTTACGCCTTACTTAATATTTTAACAGGTATTCTTCAAATTTTCTTTTAAAATATTTTTTAGATTTATAAGATAAAAATTAATAAGTAATTCATTAATCACTCTAATAGGTTATGAAAAAACTTAAATTCCTTTTCATCAAAAATCTTTTAAATTAAATTTAAAATATTTTTTATATATAATTGCGTTGTTTTTATTGTAATAAATAAATATCAATATAATATATATACTATATGCTGATTTTAAAATTCTATAATACCCATAATATTTATCTATCTGCTACTATACAATCAGAAACTATTGGAGTTAGGAGCTTCCACTTGCGTTCGGGATAGCAATAATCTGACTCCTTTTTATTATTTCGTGGTTAATTCTCAATTCAACTCCAATATGATTCAAGGAGGAGATCCTTTATGTACTAGACTCTTAATATACGATGGAAATTCACCGCTAGGAATTTGCGACAATCAAGAATGGCAAGAAATCCATCAGGTCATAAAATAAATTTTTAAAAAATAAGGAATTTCATTTTTTGGGGAAAACGTTTTGATCTTTGATCCTAAACTTCTTTAGTTATAATTCTTATTATAAAACTTAGAAAGATTATTTAGTTTGATGTATAGTTAAATTTTTAGATTAGAAACATAACTGGTTAAAATGTTAAAAATAAGTGTAATATCTAGTTTATAATTATTATTAATCTATATATTTTACGTTATCAAGTACTTATTTAAAAAAAATAGGTTTGCCGATTAGGACATTATAAAATATTGGAAATATTATTGAGTAGGAACGTTGATGCCAATGCCAGAAATGCATCTGGCAACACACCTTTGCACATTTGCGGTATTCATAATCAAGTAATTGATTCAATTTTAGATAATATAATTTTTTAATTATAGTTTGTAATTTTAACCATTATATTATTTCATTAACATTAACAACTGATATAAAGTTTAAAAAAATAGCATCTTATTTTATATCTATATATCTGCAATAGGTTGAATGCGCGAATTTGCTTCTAAGGTATGGTGCCAAATTAAACTCTCTTAACTTAGCCAATCAAAACCCTGCTGATGTAGCGGTTATAGCTAGTAATCACAGTCTTGCATCTTATCTAACAATGATTAAGGAAAAAACTAATCTTTCCTCTCATATTTCTTCCCCTTCGATAAATAATAATGGTAAGTTTACAAATATTTTTCTTCAAAAATATATTTACAATTTGGTAATCACTTCTTAACAATATAAGTTCTTCCATTTTTTATGCACTTCAATTAGTGGTCTTAAGAAAGCTAATAAGCATAATTCTATTTATTTTGGTAATAAATTTTTTATATATAAATTTTATATTCACTTTACTAAACATACTTTGATAAAACATTTATATTAGACGTTTACCGAACTATGCCAATGAATAAAATTTATGGTACAGTCAAATACCCAAATACGAATAATTCTGAGTGTTATATCTACCCTACGCCTAATATTCATCCTAAAAACGATCAGACAGACAATTATAATAATAATTGGCTAAATATAAACAATAGCACACATTACCAAGAAAGCATGAATGGTGGTTATGTAAAAGGACATCACGAAAATCAGACCTACATTAACACTTATCAGAACACAAATGAGAAAAATATAATGGGATCGAATCATTTTACTTACCCTCTTTCAAGTATTAGAGATGGCCCTTCGTCTCAAAATAATAGCGAAGAAACGATGTTAGGACTATCAAATACGCCCCACAATAATCCGACATCAGAGGAAACAATATTTTTCCAACAAGACTTAAATATTGAGAAAGAAGTAGATCATAAATACAATGGTGGGGGTTCCATCAGCAATTACAATGATAGCGAAAGTAATACTTATGTCAATAACACACCTCTAAATCATGGCCTATTAAATAACGAAGATAAAAATTCTTCGTCTATCACCTCAGGTTATACATAGTCATTGATATACAATTCAAAAAATTATCAATTCTGAAAATATAAAATATTTATAAGAAAATAGGCAAAATTTAGTAGATAGATAGCATTCCTTAAACAAACATATCAAAATTATTAGTCAAGGATGATTTAAGTTGACAATCTAAACCCGCGTTATATTGTAGAGTATATTAATTAAAAAACATAATAGGCAAAGGTTCCAGCTTAAATAGCGAAGAAATAAATGGACCCTCTTCGGATCATAATTCCCCTTCAATGTTTTTGCCATGCCAAAGTCCTAGTCCTGTCCAGGATCATGATTACAAGATTGAAATTCTTCAAGATAGCATTAAACCTAATACATCCCTTAGGGTCGACAATCCTTTAAAAAATTTGGAGATTGACATTATGGAAAATACACTCGTTGGTTTAATGAATAGTACTTCTCTTAACCATAAAGATGATTTAGATAACCCTTGCTTAAATGAAAATGATCAGTACATAGGTGAATTTGATAGAAATTTTAGCAATAATGATGCACATTTGAACAATAATACCAACGTTAATCCTTATCACCCTCCGCCTCCGCCAGATATATTGGCCCGATGCCATGCGAATACATTATCAAGTTTGCTAATTTTCATATAAGTTTGAATATGTTTCATATTATTTATTATAAAACTAAAAGGTAAATTGATTTTTTTCACTTCAAAATAATAAAAACTAATATTAAATTATTAATTATGAATATTGAATTAATTTTGAGAATAAGTATACTAAATATGGTATGAAAGAGAAAAAAACACGCAGGAAGAAGAATTGAGTGATAGAAGCAAGATATGGTAAAATAGAAAAGTTATTTTTGAGAAAATAAAATAAAAGGAATATTTAGTTGAAACCAATAATTGCGATAAATATATGTTAAGATGATAGATCAAAATAGATTAGGAGGTTTTGTAACCAAATGAAGTTAGAATATAATAAGAATGAATGAAATATAAGAGAGAGAAAAAGATATGTGATGAGTACACTAATAAATGATTGGTAGAGTTAGGCGTGTACAATGCAACGAATACTAGTATCTTAGATACAAAAACTTTTTACATCTTTTTATTTTGTATATTTTGATATTTATAATAAAAATCTAAGATTCTCTATTTTCAAAAGAATCATTAAGATACAGATATTTTTTAAGATCAATATTCACTTTTAACATTTTTCTTCTTAGTTTCTTACTTTAAATTTGTTGTTTCTATATTGGGTATAAAAATATATATGATTTGGGTTTGTTAAGTAAATTTTTTTATATTAAAAACCAATTAAAAACTATGTTGTACATATAAAAAACAGGGGGGGGGGGGGATTATAAAACATTTGAAAAAATATATAGCACATATATTTTTTTTGAAAAAAGACAAACAATTAAATTAGATAATTAAAAAGGTGAGATGGTTTTGAATTTCTTTACCATGAATGTTTATATTAGTTTAAAAAAATATCTCTTGATTTTTATATAAATTATCGTAAGAATATTTTATTATAGTTGTTGAAATTAGTGATCTGCATCGGGCCTAATTTTTCAAGACCGGCCCGGCCCGAAATTTTTTATAAAGTTTTGCAAGGCCCGGGCCCGAAATTTTTTTTATAAAATTTTGCCTGCCCGGCCCGAATTTATTTAAATATAGAAATTATTTTTTATAATTACTCAAAATAAACGATATATGTTATATGGTATCTTCTTTCTATAAATAAAATCACATATTTTTATTTTACATAAATAATTCAACATAAAATTGATAAATATAGATATATTTTAAAAAATTTCTAAGGCCTGACCCGGCCCGAATTCTTAAAAAAAATTGGACCCGGCCCAGCTTGAAGCCCGTTCGGGCCGGGTACAGACCGGGCCTACTTTTGCAGATCTCTAATTGAAATATCATGAGTTTGTGTTTTCGATAATTTAAAAAAAAATTCTAGATGAATTGAAATTTTTGGACGTCCTGTTTGTTGGTTTATATATTTTCCACTTTCTATTTGAGTCACACATAATTCCTTTGAATTTCGGTGGGAAAAAGATGATATCCATTTTTTTGTGAATAGCGCAATTATCTTGACCTCTTCGTCAACAGCTTAATGCGCCTAAGCAATAGATAATTTTTATCTTACATCTAAGATACTCTTATTCAGAAAAAGATACAAGTATCTCATATTTTTTATGATATTATTAAGAGACTTATTTCTTTATACAAGATACAAGTTTATATTAATAATGTATCTAGATTATCTTTTGAAGGACCTGCTCATTTTTAATGATTCGCTAGTTTCTTTATAAGAGAAAATTTTAAAATAATGACTATGGCATGAAATTATATTATTAAAAAAAATTTATCAAGATAAATCATTATCTTCTCAAGACGTCGCTACGATGGACGAATTGGTAAATCGTTTCGTAATATTGCATAAAGGTGAAACTGGATATGGGTTTGTACTAAGTGGCCCTAAATTGCCTCCCCAAAATAATGTCTGCATCAACACTTTCGGACCAAAAAGTTCTTAAATTATATATATTTTTTACTTAACTAGTGCTATTAAATATATATATGTAAAGATGTATAACTAAAATTCTCATTTTAGAGTGCATTTATATTTTACCATATATATTTTTTTTAAATAAAATTATAATATTTTTTACAAATTTTAAGTAATAATTATTTTATAAAACATTTTGGGATATTACTTAATTTGATAAGATTTATCTGAATTCAGTCAAAAAACACCATAAATAAGGGATTGTTCCTCCCTACAGATATAGTGCATTTAGTATTTTTTTCAGTGATAAAAAACTTAATCAGCCAAAATAAATAAAAATAATAATTGGCCTAAATATATGATATATTATGTGTAGTTAAGTTTTTCTTGGAATGCTTCTCCAGAATCCTTTTCTAATAATTTGATATCCTTCAATTTTAAATCATATGAAAAATATGATTTTATTCATACATTTCTTAGGATTTTTTCTAATTTAAAAATCTCCTATCAGAATTCTCACGGTATGGATTTCAGTATAAATCTCTAAAGTTCAAACAATCTTTGGCATGAAATCCCTTATAAAAAATGAATAATGGCATCATAAACATTAAGAATTACTTAAAATTCTTTTATATATTAGGTTCAAACACTCGATTTGAAAATTGGCAGCATGTTATTTTATCGGTTGACGAGTACAGCCCAGCATCCCAAGCCGGATTAAAGCCAGGGGATCATGTACTTGATGTAATGAATTAATAATATAATGTACATGTAATTCATTATTATAAAAAAATCTTATCTAACTAGATCATTACTTGTATTAAAAAAATATGAGAGTATACATAACGTATAGTCTTTCTTCACGTGTACACATCTTTTTTATCTCCAAATAAGTAATGGAAGGATGTTTAATGATGGCTCTAGGGTTCCTAAGTAACCGGATCCAATAAAACGTTCCAACTTAATTGAAGGATTGACCCTCTAAATGAGTAAGACCGTTTTATCGACCTGGCAATTTAATAACATTATTATAAATATTATTCTACTTTATGATAATGAAAATGTAATTTTTTTACTCGTATAAGGTGAACGATGTACGAATAGAGTTTTTGAGTCACGCCCAAGTGTCTACTCTCATATCCAAAACAGGAGTAAAACTAACTATGACCGTTTTAACCAAAAGAGTAGGTTTCATACCTCTGAAGGGTCCCATAGTCATGTGCCATTCAAAAATGGAATTAAAACTCATCAATAATCGGTTTTCGAGTGCCCTGAATTTGTCCAACGGTGGAAGGGGAGAATATAATATCAAAAGCTTGCCCACCCGAGGTAAAGCTTCTTCATTCTTCACCAACAACATGGATTTTATTGGAAAGAAGACTATACCCAATGGATTTAGTTCTTTGAGTGGACGAAGAAGTTAGTTTTTATAGTATACTTAAGAGATATATGCTAATCTTCAGTCTATATTTTTTTTTGCATTGATTGAATAATGGTATGCAACATGATTTAAAAACAATATACGTATACTTTTTATCAGAGACCCCAGACATATTCATTCTCACAACCCGCCCAAGGCTTGAATATTTCCCCCCCCCCCCATTTTATATTTTTCGGTTCAAATTGTTAATTTTTGATAATTTTGGTTGTGCTTTGTACATAGATAGATTCAAAGGGAAGTCAAAAATTTAAGAATCGAAGGCATTTTTAGAAAACGAAACGAGTAAATTCAGCTAGGCTCGGGTCTAGTATTTTTAATTTTTTGGGCCTGGAGTTTAAATTAATTCCACAGTTAAGATAGGAATTTGGTATGGTCCTACGGATCTCTTTTTTATATTGCCTCTATAAATAATATATTTAAAATTTTATCTATTGTAAAAAATAAAGTATTGAATATTTTTGATTATAGAGATCATTTATACTGTATCTAAAATAATTTTACACTAAGCTATCATATAAAGGGTTTAAAATATTCTCCCAGTTTAAGAACTTGGCATTTATTAATCATATATTTTTCTCAACTTAAATATTTATTAATTTATAGTACAAAAACGCTTCGAGAAAAATAAATATTTTCGGGGTGAAAGCTACCTATCCATTCCAGAGAGACTGAATACGATTTTTGACATTGAAGAAGGATCCAAAAATTTAAGTACAAAATATTAATTTTTTAAAAAAAATTTCCTTAATTTGTTTAAATGCATCTATTATCTAATATTTAATTTTATTTTATAAAATAATTGCTTCGGCGTTATATTAATGATACATTTGTTTAAAATATAAACTTATTATTTATAATATCTATTACTCAAATAAAAGATGCCACATATGGATCACTTCAATCGAATTCATCTTCAGCCATGAACAATAGAATTAAAGGTGGTGGCACTATAAATTCCAGGCTAACTAAAAAGTTTAAGCCTCATTTGGCCCAAATTATGACCGGTTCTTCTTCAGAAAATGATTTATTACACTTATCTGCTTTATCGAATGATTTAGCAAGGCATGCTGAAAATCATACTTTTGATAAGGGTTCTTGTAGACTCATCAAAGGACAATTTGTAAGGGACTTTAGAAATTTCTCACATTCAAATTTAGTGGATGCTTCTTCATGTTATTCCGACCAGCCTCCATGCAACAACCATAATATTTTAAGTTTGGGAAGAAATTTTTGCCAGACATTTCAGGCTTATAAAGTAAGGACCCTTTTATAAATAAAAAATATCCTTCAAATTGTTGTAATTTATTCTTTGTTTTTTTAATGTAGTTTAATATTTTATAAAATTTAATTTAATAAATAAAGTAGAAAGGTGATAACATTACAATTACTTAAAACTAGGAACATGGAACAAAGACATTTTTACCTTCCCGCTCCGGCTAAAAATATGTTAAGTTCTATGTTTCAAAACTTCTAGAAATACGTTTCTAAAAAATATCTCAGTTTTATCTCCACTGGCAGTAATTAAGACATTTTCTATAAAATTATTTAATCTGTGCGGGGGGGGGGGGGGTGTTAATTTAATTTGAGTGTTTAAAAACGCATCTCAACACTAACTTGGTAACAATATTATCCATTACTTTAAAACTTTTATAAAAAACAAGTTAAATTTTTTCAAATATGTTTGAAATAATTTGTTTTATAATCTTAATACATAAAATCACAATAATAGTAAATAATGTGTAATAATATTGTTATGGGATGCAAACTGGAATTAAGCATATGAAGGACGAATATTTATGAATGAGCCATTATACTTAATTAAATATGGGCTAAATTTGTGAGATTATTTTTCGGAACATTCCCTTAACTGTTGCTTTCCTTCTCAAGTTTCGTTTCTGGAACGTTCTGTTCCATATCCTTATACCCATTGGCCCAGAAGGCTTCGTTCCGTTTCAAATTTTAAACGTGTTACTGCAAAAATTTCTATTTTATGAATATACTATTAATCTTTACAATATAAATCAATTATATCTAAGCATGAGCAATAAATAGTATTATCTATAAAGGATTATAATTCTTCATTTGGGCGATAATGTTATGTTATTCAAAATATGAAATACAAAAATTTCACAATTTTTTTCTTTTTGAAAAACAGAATCAAAAAAATATCCTCCTTAATCCTGCTACATCCTATTCCAAGATGCCGGACAGATATAAAAAGAGATTTAAAGTCATATCCCCAGCCATGTATATGCCTCCACATTATATTAATAATGTGGAGCAAAATGTTAATCCGATTCCTTTAAGTAATCCACCACAATCTTCCTTAGGAATTAATAGCTATTACCATAAAGATCTAAATCTTTCTCAAGCTCCACATATCATATCTCAACCTTGTTTAAAATTAAATAATGAGAGCAACATCAGCATCGTAAGAAACTCCAATAATCCGAACCAATCATTCAATAAAAGCGAAAATGAGAGGTGTCAGGACGTAAGAAATTTGAAGAGTAAGATAACCTCTAACGAAACTCACAAAAACGTAACGTTTGCTCCTACCGATAGTTTAAACACTACATTAGCAAATGAGAATTTTAATGACTACTATGCCTATTCAAGTCAAATCGAACATTACCAGAATGTACCACCTGTATTATGCGAAATACCTCCACCTCCAACATATAATGCTCCAGTACCTCCTAACTATCGTTTTTCGGTTTACGATAATAACAGAGACCATTTTGCCTATGGCATGCTGAATTTCAATAATAACAACAATATTGATTGTCAATATCCTAAAGTTGTGGAACGGATTCAAAATTATCAAGTTAATTTTATCGTTATAAACTTTTTTTTAAATAAGAAATAACTATATATATACTAGTGATCTGCATCGGGCCTAATTTTTCAAGCCCGGCCCGGCCCGAAATTTTTTTAAAAAAGTATTACCTGATTTTTTTTTTAAAAAAATTGGCCCGAATTTATTTAAATAGAGAAATTAATTTTTATAATTACTCAAAATAAAAGACATATGTTATATGTCGTTTAGTTTCAATAAATAAAATCAAATATTTTTATTTTACATAAAAAATTCAATAAAAAATTGATAATAGATATATTTAAAAAAATTTCCAAGGTCCGACCCGGCCTGAATTTTTTTTCAAATATTAGGCCCGGCCCGAACCAAATTATTTTAAATAGAATTAGGCTCAAGCCCGGCCCGTTCGGGGGCCGGACTCGGGCCGGGCCTAACTTTACAGATCTCTAATATATACTAGGAAAGTTTATTTTTTATTAACCTATCCGATTAATATTTAATAAATAAATAGATAAAAATAAAAAAATTTAAACTAGTTTTAATGAAATTATTGCGTATTTGCATAAAAAAAAGCAGATTTTATCAGACTTAACAGAAACTGAGGATGAATTATCATTAGAGATAGATAAACAATTGGAATGCGCTGCTAAGAACAAATTTATCAATCAAAAGATTATAAGTCAAGAAGATTCTCTCAAGCCTTCTTGTAGTAATTCTATAAACGATGACTTTTGTAGAAGTTATAGTGATAAGAATAATATACCAATCATGTCTCATATTAATGATCAGATGCAAATTAACAATAATGAAATTCTTGAAAAGATAAAAAATTCACCTCTAGGAATAAGCTCATTTAAAAACAAATTTAACATCAAAGAAAATTTATTGAAAGTATTAGTATCTCCTTCTCCTAAAGTTGCAATCAACGATAATTTGAAATCTCTCGTAGAATGTAAAAAACCTCATTTAACGCCTATTGATACACCTACTGGTTTGCACGAACCAATTATGCCATTAAGTGTACATAAGAATTCACTGGTAGATTTGAGTGAAAATAAAGTTTCGACAGAAATTTCTTATTCAACTTACTCTACAAATATAAAAAATGTGATCGAAGATATACAGCAACCTCAATCTTTATCTATAGCAGTCTCTAAAAACTCTGAAAAGTCATTATTGACCAACTCTCTTTTTATTGAAACGGAGGCTAAGTTAGACGGCTTTGATAAAATGGTTGATACAAGCGTTCATCAAGCTTTATTAATGGAAATTCATTCCTACTTTAACAAAAATGGGAATTGCATATATACGGATAAAAGCAATGATTGTACTTCAAAAAGCCTGGAAATATTGAAAGAAGAACTAGAGTGCGGGAAAAATATAATAATAAAATCTGACGTCGAAACTAAAGACTTAATTGATTTTGAAAATGATCATCAAATAATCAGCCCAAAGGAAGAGACGCATAATAAAAATAGATTGAGTGATAATTTGAAAAGAGGAACCAAAATTTTTAAAGATATATTTAATGAGATAAAGGCTGAACTAATTACTCCTAACTTGAAAAAAACAATTGAATATGACGATAAGAAGACCGGAGATAACGATTCAAAAACTAATGTTACCAATCAAACAGATGATGTAATCGATCATTTAAATACTAACATAGAAATAAGCGACTCAAATAATCATGTTGATGTCGATGCTCCTTTTAATGAAAATGTTATAGAAAAAATTGATTGCAAATGCTGTAATGCTACATTCGATGATATCTATAATAAAAACATACAGATAAGCCCTATAAATAGTCCACATAATTCATTACATCAAGTTGAGAACAGATATCCTAATGCTATAAATAATAATCATTTTGACGATGATAGCTCGGGGACAGTTGTTTATTCGGTTCCCATTAAATGTCACGCCAAAGTTTTACCTTCCAAGTTTCAGTTGAAAAATAATTCTCATTTTTATCCAAACGATACGGTGAATGATGTAATTGATGTAAGAGAAGATAGTCATCACTCTACTTTGTACATTAATAGTCCCGATTATATTACAGTTAATAATATAGCCAAAAAATCTAAATCGATGACTTATAAATTAAAAGAAGGTCCAACAAGAGATTTTAAAAAGCGTTTAGAATCAATGCACAATGATCGATTTAATCTCCTCAAGAAGCAACTTACAAGGGCAACGGATCAGGGCCAGTGTTTACATAATAAATCGGATGAGATATGCCGCAGATATTTATTCGCATCGGCCAAAACCGGGATGAGACCCTTAAATGTTTACGCAGGATATGACGTAGAAGCATGCGAGATGATATGGAATGAACAATCTAGACAACATTCTAATGAGAATTACGAACATGCCCAACGTTTCGATAAAGAGAAGCTTATTTCAAAAAATGATAATCACATAAATGAAAAAATTACGCGAAATAAACATAAACACGAAAGCTCTAATGACAGGGAATTAGATAAAGAGGAGGCTTTTAGGGTTTCCCGTAAGGCTATAGTAAACAGGAACGTTAGACCTTTTATAAAAGATATAAATTCTAATACCAAGAAAATATTGGGAGGAAAATCTCACACTTCTGAACCATTACCACGTATTAGATTCGATTCCGATGATATGAGCAGATCGCTTAGTGGACTATCGCCTGATACCGATATCATATTTTAATATTACATAAATACCTAATTTGGGAATATATATATTTTTAATATTATTTGTATATACATTACCTTACCTTATAGCTATAAATAGAATACCTACATATTTATTAAAGATAGTCCACGATGATAAAAAGGTATACTAAAATCTGTTATACACTATTTTATATACTGGGCTATTGCTGTTTAAAATTTTAATCGAGTGAATGAAAATAAATAAAATTATATCAAAACTTGAAAAATTTAAAGGCTAGAAGAATTAACCATGACCTAAAACTTATGTTCAGTGTGTGTGTGTATATTTCTTTTATATCTTATTAGTGTTTTAATCAAATATTGAGTGAAAATATCATATATATTTTTAGCATTCATTCGCAAGCAATTAAAATCTTAATAATTAATAGGTATAAAATTAAGTTAGTGTAAGTCTCCAACATTATTTTGTGTTATATGATCAAAAAAAATATTATATACATTAATATTAAATAATAATCTTAATTCATTAAAATTTAAAAATAAAACATTCTAAGGATATTTAAAAATAGAATGGATATTAGGCTCTTAGTCAAGAATAATGAGATGGAAGCTGAATGGATAATCAAGCTCATTATGTCTATCACCAGAGTCAGAGGGAAGTAATGCTAATATATTCCTCCTGTTTGGGTTAATCGGTTTTGTAAGTTAAAATGTCTGTTGATATCTTTGATAAATTTTTGGGTTTTAATAGGAAATATCGTGAGAGTTAAGATTATAATGAATGAATATACCTATATGTTTTCGAAGCTTCTTAAGCTTAGTCTTTATTTATAAATAGAAAGAATAATAGGAGAATTGATATTGATCACGGAATAAGGTAACTTCATGGGTGTGCATCAGTTTTAAGAAGCCAGTTGGGCACAAGTTTTAATGAGATTCTTACTGAACGCGAACGCTAACTCGAGATATTGAGGAAAGAGCCCTATTCAAAAACAAAATTAAGCATACCATTAAACTCGGACTCCTTTAACAATTTGTACATGTTTAAGGTTGTAAAATGTAATTTGGTTTTTAGCTTATTGATCATATATCTGATTTTCTTCATGATAGACCAAGATCGTTAAAAATATTTTCAAGGAATTTTTACCTATTTTATTTTTTCATATCAGTAAATAAGGTATATTTAATTCCTTCAGGACTCGATTGCTGCCGATGGAGCATAGGCGTATTCCTTAATTTTTTGCTAGGGGGATGCATATTATAAAATAATTCATCTACAAAGATATTTTTGATATGTGAACAGATAATAAGATTAAAAAACATTTAAAGAATATATATATAGAGCTATATATGCTATATAATAGAATTATGAATTTTGACGAGCTATGTTTATATTTTCATATTGGTAATTCGCTCTTATGTTTCAACAAAATAAACAATTTTTCAGTCAAATAAATAGGGGACGATAAAATATGCACTATTAAACAAATTTTAGTGTGCATTAATTTGCCAATCTAAGTTATAGTAAATTATTGAATTGTCCACTTTTTAATTTGCTTTCCTTTAGAAGTAAATTCAAGTTCTATATTTATATAATCTTTTTCACTACCTCTAAATCATTTTGGTTGCCAGATTATTTTTTAAGGGAGAGAGGAATTCCTATTGGTTAGTAGTTTTTCCCCATCTTCCACGTCTTTCAAGTCCACATATTGCATGCCTATGGCTATTTTACATTTTTTTAGAAGAATAATTTTTGTTTTTCACTTTTTATGAAATGTTTATCTTCCCTAAAAATTTTGAATTGTAGACATTATTTAAAATTTATTCACTTTTTGCATATTTTTTCTTTCAAATAATTGTTTATAGTGATATATTGTCCTTGGCTACATTTATGCATTTAAGTCTATTTGTTTGTAAAAATCAATTTTATATTACCTTTTGGAGTTAGATTTTCAGTAGAATTATCTTTTCTCTATTTTTTATTTAAATAAACGGATTATTGGGCTAGTTGTTAATAGACTTATGTTATTTAAAACGATTAATAATATTTTATAAATCATCTTTATTCGAAAATCATTTGCATAGATTAGCATCTTTAGTTTATAGCCAAAAAATAATATATAAAATGGTTTTTATCAGGGACCGGGAGTGGAACTTTTAGTACATTTATGGAAAGGAATCTGAAACGTATTTTCCAGAACCTTCATGGAACAGATCAGAAGGTTGCTACAAATCTTTTGAAATTGCAATATAGAAATGAATAAATCATCCATCGTTTTTAATACTTAGACTTACCCTACCCAAACTCAAGAGAATGAAAAGCTGAATTTTAATAAATCCATTTTGTCATTTAGATTAACTAATTATTTCATTTATATAATTAGTTTTACCTAATAATTGAAAATTTATATTGATTGTTATGGCCAATCCATCAAAACGGTGCCGCCTATATAAATTATTTTCTTTATATTTTTTTTTTGTAATATAAACCAAAAAACGTTGTAATACTACCAAACCAATGGCAAATTAAGATGAGGGAAATAAAAAATAAAACGAATTATGGACTATTAATATGATATATGGCACACGAATTTTGGAATCAAATAATTTTAAAAAATGATGAATAAATTATTTAATTTTGTTTTATGAAAATATTTTATCTTATAATAAACAATTTAATTTGACCGCCTTTTTTTCTATAAAATAATCTTAACCTTCCGTTGTTAAACCAGATTTTTAAAAACGACTGACTCAATATTTTATCCAGGAAAATATTGCGCAAGCCTGAAGATTTTGCAAAGATACGACATAAAGGTTTGGACATATATAGGCATAATATGTCGGCAATATTTTATTCTTAAAAATTAGAATCTTAACAGACAAATTTACTTTTGACATTAATTTTAAAAAAACCATCTAAATGTGGCTGGTGTATTTAGACGAATTATATTTTTCTTTTTATTATTATTTGTACGCAACGTGATTTAAGGTCACATATTTATGTTTTACCATCTATTTTGTTTATGTATCTTTGTTTGGATATTATTAATAATATATTCATTATTTTTATTATCGCGAAAAGAATTAATTTATTTTATTTTTTTTTTGTTTCGAAAAAAAAATAGATATATATTTTTAAGAGATGAAAAATATATTTGGTTTTATCTAATAAAAATTTGCCACAGTACCGATTTAGTATACTTGTAAGATAATCTACAAAAGTGGCCATACCGAAATAGGTATTTATTTAAGATGTCTTAAACGTATCGATATAATAATTAATTCCAATTAATGGTTAAATAAAAGATTAATGAATACAATGTATTGTTTTATAAAATATGTTAAGCTAGATATTATTCTAGGAACGCCCAAAGCCAGAAATGGAATACTTATTTTTTTAGCCAGAAGGGAATATGTGCGCAAAAATGCTTTCCGGATCTTTGGTTTGCATATTTTATTTTGCAATAAAATTTGTAACGCAAGTTGGCGTAAAAGCTCTTTCGAAATGTAAAACCCTTTTAAAGAGTGGATTTTTGACTAAATAATAATATTGGGGAGTAGAAAGAGCAATATTATAAACCTTTTGGGAATGGTTTAAAATCGAAATCAATATATCTTCTTTACTATGGAAAAGGGGATTTTTTTTTTGAACAACTTGATTTTTGCCTGGACAAAAAGTTTTGAATAGCAGGACAACATTGCAAAAACCTCTAGGGGTGAATTAAAATTGATAATGCAAATTTTCTATTCTCCAAGAGGGAAAATGAAATAAAATTTAAACAACTCCGTTTTGAACTGGATAAAAAGTTAGTTAGTAGATGAGTATTACAAAACCTTGGAGATTAGCTTGAAATTGATTGTGCTAATTTTCATATTTTAAGAGGAAAAAAAACAAAATTTATTAATCAGAGAAGGTTGAAACTAGATACTAAGATTTAGCTTGTCTTACAAGATGTACCTCCCGGAGTAATAAAAATTAAAAAATTATATACTCCCAAAAGTTTTGTGATACTCATCTAGTGCCCAAACTTTTTAAGCAGTCCAAAACGTTGTTCAAATTTTTTTATTACCTCTCGTAAAGTTAAAAAAATTCGTGCTCCAACGGTTTTACAAACTTTTCTACCATCCAAAACTTTTTATCCCGGCCAAAGCAGCTGTTTAAAACATAATGTTTTTCACTGGTGAAGTAAAAAAGATTGGCACTATCGATTTAAGCTATTCCTGAAAGGTTTGTAATATTTTTCTATTACCTATAAATTTTTATCTATCCTCTTTTTTAAAAAATGTTTTACATATTAAAATCTTTACCCTGCATTCACTATCACGAATTCGCGGGGAATTATACAGTTTACCACTAAACTTTGAGAAGACTAAGATTTAAACTGATATACAGTTAGCCATTCGTAACCTAACTTGTATATGATAAAATTTAGCATGAGAATATGTACTTCGTTGCTTAGTTTTGAACAGAAAAAGGTTGCAAAAGAAAGGAGCGGTAGTGGAAAGTGGAATGATGCCTCCCTCTGAAAGGAATAAAGCTTATAGCAAGGAGTTATCCGAAAATGTTAGTTAACGATAGCCTCTCTCACCATTCTGAATCCTTATAACCTTCTACATCAAAAAAAAATAATAAAAAGTTTGAAAATGATGATTATGAAAATTTTTACCCATATCGCTAGGTATAATTTGTTTCATTCAAAATTGTTAATAAAAGACAACAAAAAAAATTATTAGAAAAATTTTGCAAATTATTTTTCTTCCAAATTTTAATTATAAAAAAAGAGCCTTTTCAATTAAAAACTCTCTTGTCTTGGACCTAAAAATAAAAAGCTATTATTAGTCATTGGCTTTTGTTCTGACTGAAAACAGAGCAAAATACTTTTAATCTTTAGCGTGAAGTAATATATTTTTTATTCTCTGCTCTTCTCCTAGATATGTTGTTAAACTGCTCAATTTCTAAAACGTTAATCCAATATTTAGTCAAGAAATATTACGCAAGGCTGAAGATTTTGCTTGTAGATGACAGAAAGGTTTGAACATTTATTAACAAAATATTGAAGGTTGTGTAATATTATTTTATCTAGAATCTTTATTTAAAATCGACTAAATCCGGGCGTTTTACAACACTCCTAGATACAATATTTCGGATAAGATATATCTTATATATTTATAACGATAGTTGGACTCATTCAAAAAATGAAGATAAGTTGGAATATTTTAC